CCTGCGTCCTGGGCAGCGGTTTGGAAGCAGATCACAAAGTCGTCCGGTTGTAGCCCAGGAGACTTCTGCTGGGGCTCTTCCAAGCCTCTGCACTTTTGAGTTAATAACTTGTTGAAATGAGCAGGGCAGCAGCTGTTTTTCCAGCAATTGTTTTCCAGTTCTTGCTTCAGGATATCTGTAAGAGCACGTTGGCTCTGCTTGAGGTGCCCGTGAAATAACAAAGGCATGCAGGTGTTGTTAGAATGGGGACACCTTTCTATGCTAAACCCCAAATAAGTATGTGTATTCCAAAAAGGCTTTGCATTTGAGTGCCCTATTGCCCAGAAATGTTTTGTGTAAGCCAAAGAGCTGCTCTAGGGTCACTGTAGTGTAGGCTTGTTCTGTACAACTTTTGTCTGGCATATTTTTTTGTAGACAGAGGAGTATTTCCTTGTAATTTCCAAATGTAATTTTATGTTAATGTAGTCTCATATTTCTAGTTTCTCAAGTACCTTTGATTTTTTTTTTTCTCTATCATCATCTTCCTGGATCACCCTGTAGATTTCATTAACACATTACACTTATATGTTAGTAATGCTATACTGCACCCAACATCAGTCCTTAGCATAAATGTCTGAACACAACTTTTTATATTGTCTTTTTTCTAATAGTCATTTTCATAGTGGAGAAGTGCTTGTGCATCTGAAAGCTGTTTCAATTACCAGTAACATCTTCTACAAGAGTTAAAATACTCATTTCCTTTAACCCTTGCTTCCTTTATCTCCTTTAGATAATCAAGATGGAACTAAAATTTCATTCTAGAAAGTACTGCGCAGAGAATAAGGCACTACGACAAGTAAGTTCATTCCTTTTTTTTATCTGCTTTCATAAAAAAAAAAAGTCACTGCAATGGGATCAGATTCTTTTTGGTAATGTATTTTTTTCTGTTATTGCTAAGAAGTTCACTAGTGAAGGCTAGTTTATGCCTTTATGCTAGTTTTTTGCTAGTTTATGCTAGTTTTTTCTCTATTTTGTGGTTCAACATTTAAAATGCTGGGTGCAGGTTAAAGCATTTGTGAATCGTGAAGCAGGATTCTGGCCTCATTCTGATCATGACCTCAATTTGATATTTTTGCTTACCTTCTGCATGTACTCTGCTTTCTTGCTTGCCTTTGCCCTTTCTTCAGTACAGAGATGTTATCACTACTAATCTTTTAGAAGCCCCTTAGGACTTTTACCAGTTTCTTCAACTTTATTTTTTTTTTAATTTTTGTTTTATTTTTATTTTTTAACTCCAGAGGAAGTGTAGTCTGTGTAGTCTTATTTAAGGTATATTTTAAGATCCTCTACCAAAGAGGCTTCCACACAGTTTGTACAGGGATCGGCACAGGTGTGGCACAGGAAGTCTTAAATGAGAGAAAAGCAGAATTTTAAAATTAGAATAAGTGGTGCAAGCTCAGAACAATGCTACAGGGGTAAATGATTTCCTGTGGTAGTTATTGTCAGGACATGGTCGGTATTTTGTGTGACTGCAGGGGTGCAGCAGACTGTTTACATCGTTTTAGAACTGGAGTGTATGTGAGATTTGGCAATCTTAATAACACAAAACATGGCTAGCCTGGAGCTCACATTGAAAAGGTGTTAAATTTGGGACAGGGGGTCTGGAGAAAAGTAAGATACTTCATTTCTGCCCACCAGTTAATTAGGCTGCAGGCTAAGAGGCCAATATTAATATTTTCAGAAGGAAAGAAGATGTAACAGTGCTTGTGGGGGAGAGGGGTGGAGGAGCTGGCAGCTAAAACACATCTGGAAAGGAGTGGGAGGAAAACAGTGTCCTTCAGTATATCCTTTTTTTTTTCATGTGTCAAATCCAGAATAAAAAGATAGAAGATTGAAAAGTAATTGCATTAAATAATCTTTCTTAAAGCTGCATTTTTTTTGGATGAGTAAGCTGGAAATCTGCTCAGTTGTTTGCAGCTGCAAGCAAAATACATTAGAACTTTTTTCTTTTTTGTTCCAACGTTGTTCGTACTGTTCTGCAGCTGACTTTTCTTTAATTAAATACCATTTTGTTACTCAGAAATTGCTTTTAATGACATGTATTTTTATATACACTCAGTTTCTAAGAACACTTCCATACCTGCACCTGTCTTGGAACACCTCTTTGATGTTCCCTAACACTTGCAGTATCTTCACAGTGTGTTGAGTATTTTTTTTTTTTTTAGCAGAGTTATCATTCATTACACGTTCAAATGATTCATAAGGAAATTATACCTATTGTAAACCTCAGAACAGAAGAAAGTTAAATCTTGATTTAATAAAATAAGCCAAATAATATTGATTAGCTAATTAGTTTTTGATATTGCTATTCTTGTTTTTTGTATTTTACATATTTTTCATACTTTTTTTCTATTTTGGGCAAACAGGAACTATGCCTGTAGTCACTGGAGGGTTTGGGAAAAAATAAATTAGCTAATGATATAAATGCTGAGGCAGGCATAAAACTCGACAAAAAGAAGGCAGCAAGTCATTCTTCTAGAAGACCCAGCAATATGAAAGAGATTAGGGACGTGAGCACTATTATGTACAGACAGAAGCTGGACCCAGTTCGATTGAATAAGAAAAAGATTGTCTAAGTTGCTGTTTTCTAAACTACTTAAGGAGCAAGGAATATGATATATTCTTAGCTTTTTAGTGTACTATCAAAACATATTTTTGAATCTTTCTGCACTGAAAGGAAGGAGAAAAAAAAACTACAAATCGAAGGCTCTTAGGCAGTCATTTGTCTTCAGGAGCAGTGATTTTTCAATGAACACAGGAAAATGTTCTCTAGCTAATGAGAAAGATAGAGTGGTGAGAAGGAAGACCATAATGGAGTAAAAGACCCAGAGAAAGGATAAATATTTTTTTTTATTTACAACATAAAAACTACGTGTTCCTAGGGAGACTGCAGTGAAGCCCTAGCAATATTTTAGTCCAGTCTTTTTTTTTTTTTCTCCTTTCTCCTCCTCTCTCATCTATATTATTATAAAAGGATTCAAAACAAGAAAAGTGGAAAAATCCTGAAAAATCCCTTCAGCTTTCAGTAGGTTAAGTAAGGATGTGCTCTTTAATGGGTAATCTTACCTAGCTATGTTCTACTGCTCCACCTTCCTGTACCATGAGTGCCTATGCCCTTAGGCTTTAAAAAAAAAATACTGTAGCAATGTTTTCCTTTATATAACCTCTAGCAAGCAGTCACATGGCGCTTAGTCATCTGATTGTTCTTATTCCCACATCCTGTATAGTGCCTAAAATTTATACACATATCCCTATCCATTTTCTTCTTCAAAATAGGCTAGTGGAGCATTTTTCTAAAGCTTCTTTCAGGCAGTCACGTGATGTGCAGTGAGCTAATTTTTCACTCTCTCATGCATCCTATCTGGAGCTCTGTATTTAAAGAGTATTTTGCTCTTAGAAGCCTTTCAGGCTGTGCTGCTTCTTATGGATGTGCTGCATCTGACTTTGAATACTGGAGCTATGAGGAAATGCTAAGCAAGAAAAGAAAAAACGCACTAAGAACGGAAAAACAAAGAAAATAATTTAGGAAAAGACTAGAGAAGGAGGATATGAAATAGCAGTGACAAAAGTAAAGGTGAAAAGGAAGAATAACATAGTGGCATAAGTGTTAGTATCACGACTAAGATGAGAAGGAAGGAAAAGGAAAATGATGACACTGGAAGTAATGAATAAAACGACAAAATTAAAGCCATCTGAAAAAGTCTATTTCTTCTAGTCCATAAAGCTCAGAGTTAAGCCTCAGAAACAATGAGAGTGGTAAGATCACTTGATTTATTTTAGCTAGATTAGGGACAGAGGGGAAAAAAAAAGGCAAAAAACTTTGCAAAACATGGGAGATTGCAAGGGAATTTAGATAAAGGGATATGATGGCTTTCCCAGGGTTAGCCTGCTGTGCTCCTTTTTCGTGGACTAAGGCTGGAAACTTTTAAGCATTTCTGGGGAAGTTTCTTTTCCCTGCTCTGAATTATACATTTTCACAGAAATTAAACTTTTTTTTTTTTTTTTAATTATGCCTTCTCTAGGTACAGGAGCAAACAGAATATATTTTGCTCTTACTTGTTCATTGTACATTACCCTGCTATAAATTCTTGCTCAGTGTTTTTTCTAATGTTAAAATGTTCAACAGGGTGCCAGAAGCAATTTCACTGAAGTCATCTAGAGTTTCACCCTGATAGTAAAAACATTGGTTTTCTTTCTTGTCCAAACCTATTGATGATAATGGACCTGGAATGAGATCTGTGTGTGCAGGCCTGTGTTTGTCATTTAGGAATGAAGGAAAAGGTGGGGGTTGCATAAATCTTGCAAGTGAATAATTTTCCTCCTGAATAATCCAGTTTTCAGTCCAATAATCTACTTCTCTGGAAGAACAATGAAGCCAAAATCCTTTCATTTTAGATTGTTTTTTGAAACGTGAAACAACAAAAGTATGAGAACCTTCTATGCATGTGTTGTATATCAGGTACTTTTTTGAACAACTGTCTTCATCTGGGTACTATACCTAACATAAAGTGTAGTCTCTTTTATTTTTGTTTTGCATCAGTCTTGCACAGTCCTTTCAAATTTGCGATTCTGATTTGTTGCTTCCTATTGGGATGTAGGCCAATGGGAATGGATGCCTGCAGCAGGAAAAGGATGCGAGTGACCGTTCTCTCAAAATGCCTATTCCTCATTTGTACTTGGATCACCTTAATTCAGTTTTCATGAAAAACAGCATGAAGCAAAAACAAGACAAAAAGTCAGTATTTAGTCAATATCAATTATGAATTATGTAATGGTAAAGGTTACTTTATGTATACTCTTGTCTCATTAAAAGTTGAAAGCGCATGCAGTACCTCAGATGATGCAATACAAGGCCATTAGGAAGTATTTCAAAATATGAATTTGCCATGTCTTTGTACTGCATGAGAAAATGAGAAACCTAACATTATTTGATTTAATATGAGATGAATCTACACCTCAGTGTATACTGAGGCAAACTTTAAAAGGATTGTGCTATGGAAAAGGCTGATTTAAAAAAGAAATAGCGATTTATTTGTTCATTGCTCTCAGTGCTTACTGCATTTCAGAACCTTGTTTAGTTAAAATGTGATGGTATTTTTTAGGTTTTGCTAATACTTTTTTTTTTTTCTCCTTTTTCCTACAAATTCCATGGGGGAAAATATTGAAGTAGCAAATAGGATAAAGTGGGTGGTTTTTTTTGTTTTTGTTTTTGTTTTTTTTTTCCATAGGTAGATTTTGTCAGACTCAGCTGCTTCCTTTTTGTTATACGATAACTGCTTTGTCTAGACAAGTCAAACTACTGAACTAGAAGAGAGAGGAATTAGTAGATTAACTCTAAGTGAGTTAAAAAAAATACTTGAAGGGGAAAGGTGGTAATGTGTTTTGAGGAATTGGGTAGGGTGTAGAATTATTAGGGCTTTGTCAAAAGAATGATATTGGAACTTTGTTTTGTTAATAATTTGATGAGTAATCTTGGTGCAAAAGTAGACACTGCTGATGAAATATATTGATATCAGAAATTTGGAAAACATTCCCTGCACAGTGGATGTTCCACAGGAATAACTGATGACGCTGAGGAGTAAAGAAATAAGATAAGATGAAATATAATAACACAAAGCGCAAGGTCATGTAGAGGCTGACAGCAAAGGCTTTCTGATATAAACTCGGGCCTTGTCAGATGAACGATGAAAGAATTTGAAAGAACTAGATGTGTAAGCCAGTGAAAGACTGTCTGGGAGCCACTGATCTGACGCTGCAGTGGGAAAGGTAAATTCAGCCTTGTTTTACTTATAGGAATAAAGAAAGATAAGCACCCCTGTACTGCTGCAGCTTTGTCTCAAATCTTGAGAGCAGATCTGTGAAAACACATTCAAGAAATTGGACTTAACAGTTGTAAAGAAAGCCTAACTAAAATAACTAAAGGAATGGATCAGAGAGAAAAGAACTTTATCTGTTTAGTTTAGCCAAGTGAAGCCTAGAAGATGTTATGTCCTTGAATATACTAGGTGAAGTAAGTGCTGTGACAGGGGAGGAGCTTTGTAGGCAAAAACGAAACATGGTACCGAATTAGCAATTGCCATCCAAACCTTTCAAAATAATACTAAGAGAAAATATTATATGGTATGATGATCTGGAATTTGCGATACATTTGATAACATGAGAATTTTTGTCCAGGGTTTCATTAAGCTGTAGTTGGAGCATACTCCTCTCCAGCTCAAAACAGTGATATAGTCTAAACCCAAAATGCTGTTAGAGATAGAAAGAATTGATGAATTTCTACACTATGCTGCAAGAGATGGATATGAGCTGTAGGGTCCTGAGAGAGTATTTTAGGCTTGTTTTCCCTAACGGTAGGCAGGACCGCAGTGTTGGGGCAAATGCACTATGTTTTCCTGCCATGGAACTGTAGTGTTGCAGGTCACCTTTGGGGATTTCTCCCTGTTGTTTCTCATTCCTCACCGTCAGTTCTCTGGGGCACCTTGCGTTACTGAAATGTGTTTGTATCCCTGCAAAAGCCCTACCAGAAAATAAGTGCATTGCATTTTAGTTCAGTAATGGTTACTGGAGCTGATGAGCCTTATTTTATTTTATTTTATTTTATTTTATTTTATTTTATTTTATTTTATTTTATTTTTCTCTCCAAGTGTTATCACAAAAGTGGGTTCTGAACACGTTTTATTTTATTTTATTTTATTTTATTTTATTTTATTTTTTCCCCTTGCAGCCTATATTTATAATGCTCTCATTAAGAACTTGAGGAATGATGTATTTGTAGAATTCAGCTGCCAGAACAGGCCAGTCTAGGAAGAGCCTAATGTGCCTTGAACATTTGTTTATATTCATTTGTAGCTATCTTGCATAGTCATCTTTCAGTAATCTTGAGTGTAATGACTACAGTAACTACTGTTTAAAGTTAATATTTTGCCTAGCTTGAGTAACTTGGCTCTGCAGAGGAAATTTGAAATGGAAAAGGAAGTGAAACGATACTCTAGACTACTGTGTGGCTGCTTGTCTTTCCACTATTGGAATTTCTTAGCCTGCTGCTGTATATGCCACGTAAGATCTCCTTACTCTTTCTGCTGTCCCCTTAATTTTTTCTCTATTCCTTTGCCCACTCCTACCTCAGAGGAACTGGATTTATTTTTCTGTGAGAGGCCTGTTGTCTTATGAGAAAGGCAGTAAGATTTGTAGCTTTTTTTTCTTTCTTTCTTTTGAAGATAACTGTCTAAATGTCCATCAAAACTCCAGTGAAATCCAGTTCTACATTTCACCTTCCACACAAAGCAGCCTGAGGGCATTCTTGAATTAATGAGTACAGCCAGCTCTGAAGTGACAAAGTTCAGGCTGTTCTTTGTACAAGCGCCATCGAATATTTTAATCTCTATTTGCTTTTGAAAGAATAATTGGCTCACAATGGGCGGGCTTAATTTTACTCTTCCAATGTCTTATATATCCTGTGCCTTTTACAAGTATTGAACTTTGTTTCAATGTCTGTGAAGTAGGGAAGTATTGTAAATGCCAGACCAGGTATTTTAGGTGAAGAATCTGTTTACAGGAAATACATTTTCCATCTGAAAAAAGTGTATTTGTGAATTTGTCCTTAACTTAGTTCATAGTTTGGGCTAAAGATACTGGTAAATAGGAAGTTATGTGGGCGTTTTAAATCTCAACTTAGGTCTTTCTGTTTAAAACATTCCAGATGCTAATTTACTTACTTTTATCAGTTACAATCTGTCCTTTATAGAAATAAATCTTTTGTTTCAAGTCAAATTTCTTTAACTTCATCTTTTACTACAGAAATGGGGGAGAAGGGAGTTTATGCATTAGTATTTCTGTTTCGCTAATGGGCAACCTGTGAAACAAATTTTCTGTCTTGTCCAAAATAGGTTGTGGTGGAGCCAAGAATAAATCCTGGAATTTTTTTTGACTGAGGCTCATCTTGTGCTTTAATTAGTGAGGTGAAACTTTTGTGTTTGTTGTATTACTTTTCCTTAAACTTTGTGCAGTGATCATAACTTACTAAAAATGCCTTTGATATACTGTGAGCTGCTCCATACTTAACATGTATGAAATATGTGGTAAGCGAGGATCTTGTTGTATGGATTTGGGAGTGTTGCCCAAGGCATATCTGAGGTTGAGCTCTTGTGTTCCCTGCGGCGCCTGCACTCTGTGTGGGCATGTTGACATTAACCCTGGCACTCTCTGCTTCTCACTTGTGTCCTAAGTGTCTTCGTTCACATGTGAGATTTAGCTTTGCTCTAACTGGACACATAATGGATATAGTGATGTAAATTAGAAAGCATCTGTGCTAACAGTCCTTGCTAGAATTCTCATAGTGCTTTAACACATGGCTTTCATAAGACCACTAGACTGTATTTCATAGGACTGCCAGCTTAGTCTGTTGTTGATTTCTGGCAGTAGCCTTGTAGAAAGAAATTGGCTGAACATGGGATGAGCTTTATTCTCACACAGTTTTGCAGTTTTCAGTAGTAAGCAGTGTAGGAATGACCTCTGGTGCAGGTCACATCAGAGCCATTCTTCATAATAGCTGTAGTTAGCACTGTGGATTTGTTTAATCCTGTTTTGAATTTGTTAATGCTTTTTGATCCAATCTTCCCAGAGTCCCAAGTTCCAGTTAGATATTTCTTAAAGTATTTCATTTGCTGATTTTACAGCCAGTGCCTTATTATTTTACTGAGAGCCTGTTTGTTCCTGTGTTATTGTTCCCTCCTCATCTTCTCGGGAACATTTATGGAGAACTTGGTCATACCTTCCTTTAGTTGTGTTTGGATAGTCTAACTCCAATTTCCTTGCAGAGAAACTTGTCTTTTTCTTTTCTGAGGCGCCTCTATTCTGCTGTTTAAACGTGGCAACCTTTTTGAAGGAGAAGTGGTAGAGTCCTCTAATAGTTTATAACTCTTCTGATCACTTAGACTGCAGATTGTTTGTATTTCCTTGAAAGCATTTTATCTTTTCAGTAGTTCCTTTATTTTCTTTTAGTAAATATTTTATATTCGGTTTTGGTTTCTTAAAAAAAGAAATTGTTATAAAATAGTCAACATTTTCATATAGCCAACATTTTCGTATAGTTTATCTTCTGTGTTCTCATATCCAATTATATAACAGCTCGATGGCAAACATGTTATTTGTAAATAATTTAGAGTATTTGTTTTTCAACAGTATGTAGTCCCTGGAAATATGAGCGTTACATGACTGTCCACCCTATGGGGATCTTCTGATGTTTCTGTCTAGTAATTTATGGACCACACATTGAGAAACTCTAACATATGTAGGCTTTATGCTCCACATTCTTACTGTATTTGAGGGGCACTCTGTCCAATTATCTTAGATATACCCTAGATTATTTTTTTCTAGTTAATAAGGAAAGCTAAAAACTGAAGCAGAGGAGTGTCAAGCTTCCATGGTTGATTTGAGAGTAAAATTAAAAATTTGTAGTAGAATTATTATTATTATTTAGTCTTCAGTTTCCTGCAGTTTCCCAGAGCATTTCTGAGGTAGTACTAAGGTGATTATCCTATGTACCATGCAAAAGCAAACTGCCTATGTGGTTAGCCCCAGCTAATACCCTCCTTCCTAGAAGTCAGTGACAGAACGCTGATTTCATGGGCTGGAATTCCACCTCTGGTGTATTTTTCTTGTTTTTGCTCCATGTGAAGCCTATTAAATGAATTAAAACACAGAGATACTCTGAGTCCAAAAGAATATTGATTTATTTCCGCGATTGTCAGTTATGTGGATTATGGGGAAAAAAAGCAGCCAAGACATGCTGATATGTTTAAGACATCTAAGAAATATATATGCAATAGGAAATTATACATCAAAAGTGTAAGATTGTTTCTGGAGTCAGACAGTGATAAAGTAACTTACCCTAAATTGTTCCATTTCCTGGTTCTAGTTATTATAACCTTCGCTACACAAAACAACACTTTTTTTAGGTTATTTTCTATTCTGTCTTGAAGTGGGAGGTGGGCCCAGTTTACCACGTTGTCACTAAACACATTTAAATGGATTTTTAAGTACCTTTTATACTGTCCATGGGGAGCCCTAATGGAAATAAGAATGAGGAGAAAAGAGTCTTTGGGATCAGAGTCTTCTGGACTTTTTAAACAATATATTTATTCCCACCACATTCCTGCCTTTTCATCATACCTTTCTGTCCCCTTCTCTTTTTGAAGCAAATATGGGTGTCTTATGATGCAGTGTTATTTTAATCACTTGCTAAGTATTTATATACTTGTGATTATTTACCTTTGTGTAAAGGTACAACAGAACACAGCTTTGTGTAAAGTTATCCTTTATGTATTATACCATTTCATTCATCTTTAGGTGTATTCTATTGAATATTATTTTAAAATATGCATTTGATCTTTCCCGCTTTATAACTATAGAAACCTTTATTCTCTAACTTCAGCATCGTTTCTTCATCTACAAAAATGTATCCAAATATTAATATCTGGAATTCTTGTGATTTTTTTTTTTACCCAATTGCAGTCTTTCTGCTCATTATGATACATTTCAAGTATCATACAACTGTCTTACAGAAGAAATGTCCATACTAAAACCTATTGGAGTCGATAGAAAATCTCTGAATTCCCAGTCTGCAATTTTCTAAGGCAAAGGAACTGGATTTTGGCAGAGAAGTTTGTTTATTGCTGTGGAGCTTGCACAATAAGGCCCCATCTAGACCAATGCAGTGGGGGAACATTCCTGGACACTGGCACTCGATCTTGTGGGCTGTTGAATATTTAACACATTGCACAGTATTGGCTTCTTCCAATTAACACTGTTCTGAACAATTCCTAAGCATCATTCAGTAGTTAGTGTGGTCCAGGGGCTATTCTCCATAGGCAGCTTGGCTAAAGATGCCATGCCCTGTAGGGCAAGAGAGCTAACAGTCAGGTTGCAAGCCTTTGCTCACAGTTGGTCTCAGCTTTAAAGAACATTCTGGGCACACTTGATTTACTAGTATATACGTAGCTCTGTAGTAGAAGATCTAGGAAGGCAGGAGGAACAGGGGTCTTATTCTTCTGCTGCAGTTAACTGTAACTGTGTGTTGGGTTAGAGCTGCCAAGGCTACTGAGATACAGAGGATTTGGAAATCTCATTTAGAGGGAATTTAAGGATTTAAGGACTGTGGGTAGTTTTCAGCCAAATCTAATGCTGCTGTTCAGACCAACTGAGCACATATGCAACAGGCTCCAAACTTCTTAAATATCTTAAACTTCCTGATCCCTTTCTGCCCTTGTCTGTACAGGAAAATGAAGTTACCATCATATGGTTTGAGTAAGAAGTGATATATCATTCCCTGTGTGTATAGGTTATCCTTAAAGGATGTACAGTAAATATGATGCATCCCTTCTGTGCATTCTGTGCAGAACACTGTGCATATGCTGTGCACCAATTCTCTCATATTTTTGTTCAGACAGGCTCACAGAAGGTTATGCAGGCTGGTAAAAAGTAACTTTCTGCTGAATTTGTTTGCACTGCTCCTCACTATTTTTTTTTCCTTTGACCTTTGCACTTTAAGATTTGAAGCAATCGTATTTTTATCATTGTCCATATAATCGTTATACAGTGTGAATAAGTAAGGTCCCCCAAACACTAGTATAATTCTTCTCTAGGAAAGTGCAGCCAAGGACATTAATCTTATAAAGACTGATCTTTCTCCTTAATAAATGTGTTTAGGATTGTACATTTATCTCTGCAATTTATTCTCCAAAGTAAATTAAAAATAATAGATGTTAGCATTTTCTTTGCCAAACACTTGTCTTAAAAACAGATTTGAAATATGGGAACCGATTTTACAGACACAAATATCAGCCGCAAAAATACAGGCTAAATTTCCTGTTTTTTTTTTTCCCCCAATTTAAATCCCATTTTGTGACTTTTCTCAGACATAGTCTTTCAAAAACATATATTTTTGTAGCTAAACACCACTGAAACTATTAATAAGGAGAACAGTGTTTTACTTGTCTTTAGCATCATGTTCTATTGATTTAGTTCTGAGCTAAAACTTGATTAATCTGTCACCATGAAGCTTGGACAATTTTATAAATATTCTGATTTAATAAAAAAGGTTATCTCAGATGAAAAAGTCTTTGGATGTTATATGCATACTTAGAGAAAACTATGACCTGAAGAAGCATCTAGAATATATGAAAGTAAAGCAACTTATTGAGTAAAACTGTTTTCTATTTCAAAACACATACAAACCAAACTGTATACTAGAATATCTAACATGCAGATATTGCATACTTCTCAAACAAAAATGTGTTTAGAAACAAACAGTTGTGACTTGAAAAATGACACCAAAAATAGTATCTTCTTACAGAATTTTCTTCCTGTGTAGTTATGGATGCATAATAGGAGCCTGATGCTTTCATTGCTAAAACATTAGTGCATTCAAGTGTATAATGAGGGCATCCTTTAAGTCCTAAATCTATGTAATGGTTATAGGAAAAATGGCGTATGATTTTTTTTTTTTTTTTCCTAGTAACAAAAATATTTGTGGTAATAAAACTCAGTGATACTTGTTTGATGTAACCAATCATTGGTGGGATTTTTAGTTGTGATTAACAGAAATGTTCTGAGATCATCCAGGAAATACCTTTGTACTTCTTCATACCAGTGTACTACCTTTGTCATAGCCTGATTTACTGCATTTTCTGTAAGCGTATCCATGTGACATGAATATTGATGTCCATAATTAAAACTGAGTAAGAGTCAAAAAAGAAGAGCCAAAGCTTGCTGTCACTACAGTAATGACAAAACTCTACTCAACTTTGGCTAAAGCAGGGCTGAGGGGGGAAAAAAAAATAGTTCTTAGAGCTTGTCTTGAGCAGGCAGTACTTGGAGTGCAGAGTAACTGTCATATTGCTCAGTTGTTTTATCGGAATCAACATACCTATCAAATCCCTTGATGTTAGTGTCATTCTTCTTACTGCACCTATTCTTAAATGACAAGCAAGTATTTTAAACAAATTATAGATATTACAGAAGTAGAAGAAGAACATACAAGCACAAGTAAAAAAAAACCTCCGTCAGTACTTGCCAAGTTACTTTATTATGTCAATGGATGAGATTAGATGCCAGAAAAGAGATAATCAGAAGTTATTACTTACACTTGAACTACCAAGGAAAGATGTTGTCAGTAGCCTCTAGCAATATTTGAAACAATGATACATGGTTGTTCAGCTCAGCAATTGGTGTGATACTGAGAGCAGCTCCTGTCACAGGTCATCTGTTTCTGGAACAGTGTTGGAATCCATAGGCTGAATGAACACTACAGGAATATTCTCGGATGTCCATCCCTTAGGAGTCCTATTGAAGGATCTCCTGGCAGCAAGAGGGTTTGCGAGGATCATGAATCTGGGATCATTTAGCATCAGTAGATTAAAATCTGGTACCTTGAATTTGACCAGCTTTGATGCTCTCTCAAAACCACCAAAGGGAGTAGCAACTCTGCAGATATTGGAGAAACAAAAGTAAAAGGTGATTTTAAAAAATACCAGTTTTCTTAAAAATACCTATTTTGTTTTTCTCTCAGGACCTGAAAAGAATAGAAGGTACTTTAATTATGAAAATTTACTAAAATTTATGGTTGACTTTTTCAAGCTTTTTTTCTGAAAAAAATCTCTTTAAGATCCTGTTTATTTTCCTGTAGATGCATGCTCATTTTCATCCATCTTCAAAATCACCTATGATAGAGAAGCCAGGGAGAAAAAAAGGTGTTGCAAAAAAAAAAAAAAACTTGTCATTGCTGTTTTACAGTCACTGAACTTAATCGTAGGCGCTAAGCTGATAAGCGGAAAACATAGTTTAGCAACACATTCTCTGTAGCACGTAACTAGTTTAAGATTTTCTCACCCTATTTTCTGCTGTCTCCTCCAGCTGCTTGTTCCTCCCACTATGCTATATTTCAGCACCATACTGTTGCACAGGAAAAATATATGTGGGATATGCAATAATAAACGTGATTGCTTAAGTGGTCTGGATTAAAAAGAAAAATAAGTCTTACAAGTCAAAGGAGCATTTTTAAATCCAAATTATTTCAGCAATCTGGTTTATATCGTTAGCCTCAAACTGTAATAATAAAAGTGTGGAAGCAATAACATGTAATGTGGAGCAGAAAGGAATGGCCAAAGACAGCAGCCTTTGGAAAGGAAGAAAATTGGTGAGGGCTTGCGCAGCTTTGTTGCTGCAGAAAATGTTTATGTAACTAAACCTTGAAATACAGGCTGAAATTGGCCCATTGTCTGCAGCCAATATTTTTCATTTATTTAAATGTAAATGTTCCTTCAGATAATAAGCCTTAGAAATGAAAAGGTATGAAATATTAAGCATGAAGTGACTGTTACATCCATCTGCAAATACTTTAAAACAACAGTATTTGCATGTATTTTTCATGGTTCTTTTGTTGGCTTCTAAGTAGAGAAAACAAAGTGCATTTTTTCCTCTCACTTTGTTCTCAGAATCCTTTGTATAAGCAAAGTTTTGGTTTGGACGAAACTGAATACTGCTTGTTTTCTGCATTTTGCTCAGCTGCATAACTTCGGTAAAATATATTCTGGCCAGTAAAGATGGTATGATTTTTAAACCACACAAGAATGTCTGATTTATGCAAATCTGCATATGTAGTGAAAATGATTTTCATCAGCCTTTGTAGGCTTTATTAGCTTAACATGGAACAGATCTGCTGGAGTAGATTTCTGGTGGTTCCAGGTATTTTAGCAGAAAACAGAAAAATGAACACCAGCATAAACTAAAATTGAAGATTTGACTAGACTTTTCACCTGGATAAAACAGATAAATAGATAAAATCTATAGATAAATGACTTCAGAAAAATGGAACTGTCGTCTTAAAAAAATAAATTACACTACTCTGCACAGGCAATTCACTGAATTTTAATAACGAGCAACTTTTGATAAAAGGGATAGTGTTAACTTCATAGGTCAATCTATGCAAGATGAAAAAAATCTTAGAAGTTCTGGGCATGCACATGAGCAGAAAAGAGGAATTTGGAATAAGCTCTATAACTCTTTGTCAAAGGAATATAAGACTAGATTTTGCTGCAGCGGTCAGTCCATGCATTAAACTGTTGTGGTCAAAGGGAATTCTGTATACAAAGTTCCTGTAGTATCAAATGATTCTTGTGAAACTGTCTTCTAGGTCAGGGTGTCAGATTGGATACTATTTGATACTGATTAAAAATAATTGCTTGGTAATTGGTGTAGAGAGTGAGTGTAGTGATCTACATCTTACAGGATGATAAAGATCGTTTTAATTGCTGCTCCAATTCAGGTATGCATTCTCACGTTGTTGTCATATTTAGTTCTCATCAATAGGTAAATTAAAGGGGTGATCCGTATGAATAGAATAAAAATAGCTGTATTTAAAAAAAAAAAGACAAAACAATGTTATAGTTTAAAACTTTGTTTGGAGTATTTTTTTGCATTTAAACACAGAAATTTTCTGCAAGTAAAACAAATAGGATGGTGTTTTATGAAGATTCAAACAGCCTTTATGTGAACAAAACTATGTAGGTCTTTTACAAAGTCTAGCCTCAGAAAATTATGCATTCCTGTATGATAATCAACACAAATGAGAGTACAATAATTGGGTAACAAATGTTAATTTTCCTTCAGAACAGCAGTATGTTTCTGAGAGCAATGATTTGTCTGATGACGTGATGTTGAAATGACCTATATTGTGGGCAGATCACTTGAGTGCTGATTCATTGTATAGAAGCCTAAAACTCATGTCTCAAAAATTGCGCTAGACATTGCTCACAGTAAGGGCGGAAATCCTGGTTCAGAGCCAGAGGAGGTGTAAGATTTATTTATTTATTTAGTGTATTTACTTTGCATATTCCTAAAAAGTAGATATAAACCCAACTATGTTTCTTTTTAGTTGCTATTTTAATAGGGGTTCTTGCATTTCTTGGTCGTTCTTATTGAGCACTATATTGCCTCAAGATGGATGATGGATGGATACTTGTGGATACTTGATGGATGCTTGTGATTGAATGTTTGGTGATGTTTGAAGAAATGCTAGAAATGCATTTCCCAAAATGTGACTGTCAGTCCCCCAAAACCCTGCATATTGCTAGTTCTCTGTAAAAACAAAAATTTAAGAGCAGGGAACCATATGCAAAATGCCGGAGCTTATTGGTCCCTTAATACAAGAACTACTACCAATTTCTCTAAGGTATTTAGGTGCTAAAGAACTGTCTAAGCACCTGGATCCCATGAGTTGAAATTAGGCACCCAAAATTGCTTTGAGGGTCTGGATGTCTAAGGATTTTTACAGTAGGATTCAGAATTCATTAATCAGTAAAGCAGAGCCCAGTCCAGATGCACTGGATTCCTTCAGTGTTGTTGAGACAGTAGTCTTTGCAAAGTGAGAAAGCTGAGCAAGAATTTATCCAGAGAGGTAGAACCAGTCAGACTTGTTTGTCTTAGGTGAGCAAGATGTGGTGCTTTGTATGTCACCCCTTGTACCTTTGGCATTTTCTCCAGCTCCAGCAAATCAGATGGAATAAAGATCCTAAAATAATTTATATTACAAACTACTGAAAAAATACAGATTCCT